TGTAACTGGGTGAACTGCCCGCTGCCCACTGCCTAGGATGGCAGGAGGTAGGGCTGTCAAAGATGGATCTGGCCAGTCAGAAGGAAATGGCTCTCCCTCTGGTAGTCCTGACACACGACACCTTCTGGGCCCATTCAGTATCCTATCTGCAAAGCGAGAATCCCACCAGCTAACAAGGTGTGAGGAAGGTAGTATTGGGACAATGGCTATTAATATTCAATGAATGTGGCCCTCCCTCCCCACTCTTGGGTGGCTTTTCTGTCCCCGACCCCATGTGAAGCCCATGTATTAGGAGTCTGTGCTCCAACGGTCCGTCCCCTCCGCTGTGAGGCACAAACCCAAGGGCGCCAGTTCGGACTTCTCTCAAGATTCTGGGATAAGCTCACCCTTGTACGTGCCTCAGCCTTTCTCCACAGAAAAACCCCTTCCAGGACTGGCACTTCTGTCGACTGCAGGGCGGCTTCTGGGGTGCAGCCCAGACCACTGTTTCTTTTATAATGAAGAATGAGCATTCTGGACTGTCGGCCCCATGTCTGTCCGTCATCCCACCCCACCCCACCCCCGAGTCCAAATCTCTTAACAATTTTTCCCTAGGACAAATACTTAAGGGGAAACGCTCCGACTTCTCATCTGGGAAAACGGCTCACAGGAATATTTTGGCCCCAGCTTCCAGAACAAGGGAATGGGAAACTGGCAGCCAAACGGGGAAAGGCAGGGTCATGGCCTCGGGCACTGGACCAGAACATATGAATGGCAGGGTTGGAGTCCAAAAAAACCTGGTGCTGTTACAGGCAGTGTAAGCCAGGAAGCTCCCTGGCTCAGGCGGAGGGAAAACCAGAGCTGGCAGTCCACTTGGGAACTGGGTAATGAACAGTAATGTGGAGATCACACTCGGTGACTAAGCCAGAAAGCCAACAGGAGCTAGCTGTCCCTCTGGTGTATACGGGGTGTACGGGATACTCCGTGGTTAACACCTGTGGCCTGACTCAGGTCCCAGAACCACAAGAGGGTTGGCTGAATAAGCACGGATATTCCTCTGGCCACCCCAGACCAGCTAACCTGGGGGATGGAGTGCCTGGCGTAACCCCCACAGCCCAGGAAAGGGAGGCAGGAAAACGAGCCTGCAGCAGCCTGGGTTATAGAGTGAGACCTGGGCTCAAAACACAAAACCAACTCAAAAGACAACCGAGCAACCCAGACAATTTGAGAGTGTGAGTCACAAAACCGAGGGAAACACACCCCGGGCACAGGTACCTCTGCCCTGTCACACTGCGGGGCAGTCTGCTCAAAGGCAGACTCGTGGGGGATGGAGTGGGGGGAGGGGGCGGGAAGCTGAGCAAGTAGGCCATGACATGTAGGCGCAAAGTGCCGGCTTATCGTAGACATTTCTGTGTTTGTGCGCTCACGCACCACGGCAGGGGTGTGGTCACTGGACAGCTCTGGGGTGCCAGGTCTCCTTTCCACCCCAGGAAAACTCAGCCCGTCTTAGGCAGTCAGGCTCAGCTTAGGAAAGCACCTTTATCCACTGAGCCGTTGTCTCCTCAGGCCTGTAAGGGCTCCTTTAACTCAAAGAAACCAACACCAGTTTTGCTTCAAACAGCATAGAAACAAGGAGGCCCCTGAAGAGCCAGCCCCAAGCTCACGCGGCGGCCGGCAGAAGCAAAGTGGGCCTAACAGGCCAGGACCAGAAGAGGGTGGCTGCCAGGGAAACCGTGGAGAGAGGGACTTGCATATAAATCTGGGTGAATCTGTGCTTTATTGTTATTAAGTCATTAAGCTACCGGGCAGGCTGTCTCCTGAAATTGAGAGGTGCCCATTGTCTCTGGACAAAGTCAGCCAAGGACAGGATTTACTGATCTGTTCAAAGTGAAAGAGAAAGCAGTACTGTGGAAGTGGGCACGGGAGGTAGGAACTGGGCGATTTCACACCCTGGGCTGGTGCAGGCCTCCAGGGCAAACTGGCCTCTCTGTGTACAGTTCTCTGCCTGCACTGACTCCTCCAAACCAGCCCAGTCTAGCAGCATCCAGCCCAGAACAACCCGTGCATTAGATGGCCTTCCCACACTTAGTAAAGCGAGACGCCAATCCTCAGGCTATGTGAAATACGACTTCTCTCAATTTTGCTTCTATTTTACCTAAGAAGTTTCCTGTTCCCATCAATTTGGATGATTATCCCTTTTGAAAGGTGGCCAAACAGAAGAAATGGAATTCTAAGTCATACCCGCATTGGCACCATTGCTTCAGGACGCACAACAGCCCCAGGGTCAGAATTCTGGCTTTTGCCACACATAAAAATATCAAACCTTTGCTTCAGGGATTCCAACACTGGACCAGACTCTCCTCCACAGTCTATGAGGTGAGAACTTTGTCATTTTCAAATGCATGTTGGCCAAGAAAAGGAATGTTCCAATATTCTTTAACATAATGATGGTGCATAAGTTGAGGATGAGGCGTAAGTCAATAGACACACAACTTGAGATAATCACACCTTAAAAATGCACACATATTATCTATACACGTATGTATGACAACAAACCAAAATGGCATGGGCAAGCGTTCACGCATCTATACACATATGTATACTAAGTATACATATACTATGTATATGTAAACTAAGTGGCACGGGGAAGCCCCACCCCCCACTCTAAGATTGGTAAAATAGAATCTATGTCTTCTTCAGTGGGATGGACAGGTCAGCAGTCAGCATCCCAGCACTCCTCACAAAACAGCCACTCTTGCTGAGGAGCGGCCACAATCCAAAAACCCCAGGAGACAAAGCATTTACTATTAGGAAGTCAACAAATGCACCTATGACAAAAACCATAAAAATAAGCAACCCTCAGAGCTCTGGGGCTTTCAGGCCTAAGAGAGATCCTATCTCAAAACAAGGCTGGCAGCTCCAGAGAAATGATGCCCAAGGATTACAAGCAACTCAATCTGCACCCCGCACCCCTGCCTTTCCTCTCTCTCTCCCCCCTTCCTCCCTTTAAAGAGAATCAAAGGCAACTTCAGAAAGTCAAAGAAATCAAAGCCCAATGCCTTGGATAAATGCCAAGGTAGACAGGGCTAAGAGCAGAATTAGCGAGACAAACACAGGACTTACTAGAACATGGCACCAAGAAATCTATAACTTAAGAAAGGAGAGGTTTGCGGGGTGGTGGTGGCGCACACCTTTAATCCCAGCACTCGGATCTCTTGTGAGTTCGAGGCCAGCCTGGTCTACAAGAGCTAGTTCCAGCACAGACTCCAAAGCTACAGAGAAACTCTGTCTCAAATAAACAAAACAAGGAGAGGTTCAGTATTCATCTTCAAATCCTAGACTGGTGTGAGGGGATGGGGGGGCAGACCAGAGAACATCAGCGACATGGTTTCTAGAACATGAGACCCAAGTCAGAGGAACAAAAACAAGCTCAACATGAAGGTCAAAATAGACAAACCAAGGGAGAAAATGAATTCCCACTTGTTATAAAAGAGTAATTTCAGGCAGGCAGTGATGACAGGCACCTTTAATCCCAGCACTCAGTAAGTAGAGACAGGTGGATCTGGCCAGCCTGGTCTACAAAAGCAAGTTCCAGGACAGCTAAGGCTGTTAGAGAAACCCAGTCTCCAAAACAAACAAACAAACAAACAAGGGTAATTTTAAAGCATGTTCCTGTGTCTGGCCTCCAAGGGAGATGCGGGTGCAGTATCCCCAGCACCCCAAAGTTCACGGGACAGACTCAGAGTAGCCAACCCCTAAAAACAGCCCGAAGCTCCAAACTACTTTGGTGAATCAAACCCTGGATCTTTACTATAAGCTTCACCAGATCAAATAACATTCCACTGTATTACAACAGCCACGTTTTCCCTTAATGTCTACGTAAAATGTTGGTTTTTATAGCATAATTAATCTGGCGGTAAAGAACCCAGAGTATACTTTGATGACAAGAACCCCATCTTGCAACAAAATATTTCACACCCATGTTCGCTGTCTTCCGTCTCGCCATTCAGAAGATAAATCTGTGTTGAGAAGTTCTCATTTTATCTGCTTTAGCAGACAGAATTTCTGACCCCGCATTTATCTTGTGTGTGCGGCGGCAGCAGTGCACGCAGTAAATCTGTGGAGCACAGTAATTTGGGGCTTTCTGAGTCATTTCCAAGCGAAAGCTGGCAGTCTTTATACAGCTTTCTGCAGGGTATTTTCAGGAGAGCAAACACTGAAATACCCTCCATGGGAGGCTTCTGACATTCCGCTCCTACAAGATGAGCCAATCACAGGACAGAAGCTCCTCAACTCCACAAGCAGTGATGCCCAGCGAGGAGCCACAGCGAGGCCACCTGCCACAGCATTTGCTGCTACTCAGTTACTCTTCCAGAGGGGAGCCCTAAATCAGGTTCTTTCCCTTCCTATTTTATTCTCCTCCATCATGTACACCTACTCTGTGTCTTCATCCACTGTTTCTATGTTGTTAGACCTGGAAGCTACTGCTGAGAAGCTGAAGAGCAAGGGAAGCACTGAGCATCGTCATTACTGAAACAGCACCATGGAGTCTCTGACTCTGAATCTATTTCTCTTTCCTCAGCTTTGAATGCATCCCTGAGAAGTTAAGTTGGAAGTGGAGGGGAGGGGCCTGGGAGGAGAGGAGGGAGGGGAAACTGAGGTCGTATATAAGATGAAAAAATATTACTTAAATAACGTGAAAGTCCAATCCACACAAGCCAATCGAAACTAATACATGTCTACCCTGTCAAGATCTGTCTAAAGCAGTGGTTCTCAGCCATCCTAGTCCTACGGTGACCCTTTAACGTAGTTCTTCATATTGTGGTGACCCCAACCATAACATGTTCGTCGCCACTTTATGGTAACTATAATTTTGCTGTTATAATGAATCATAATGTAAATATCTGATTTGCAGGATATCTGATATATAACCCCCGTAAAATGGTTGTTCAAACTCCCTCCAAAGGGGTTGGGATCCACAGATTGAGAACCTCTGATCGACAGTTAAAAGGACAATAGAGTAATAGTAAAACAGCTTTTTATTTGTTAATGTCGCATAAGAAATTTAAGCATGTTACACTACCTTAAAAAACACAGCTAGCGCATCGAGGAGAGCCCTCCCCCACCCCAGCCCACCTGCCCACCCTCAGGAATCAGGGATTTAAGAGAAGTGGCTGAACAGACAACAGCTCCGTGGAACACCTCCGTCCAGAGCGCTCACATGATGACTAGGTTAATATTGCCTTCTTACAAAACGTCTCTTCTCTTTCCTATTTAAAAAAATTTGTAACCTTGATCACTTATTACAAAAAAAAATCCATACAAAAGTTCAATATATTGAAAAAATTGCTTTCCCCCATCCCGAACAGCACCGTTTTATATATAGCAGAGATTGATCAAGAGCAGACCGCCCAACAAGACGGAGCAGTCTTCAAATTATGCCCGGACACACAGTGGTATACTTACTTACCCTCCCCTCCCCTTCTTAAAAGAACTTAAAAAAAAAATACATACACACATACAAAAAATGCCAAAAACTTGAGGGCCCCTTTCCAAACAGTACAGTTAGTTCAGTGTCGATAATTCACATCTTGCATCAACGTGTATGGATAGGATTTCTTTTACAAAACTTTCAGTGTCAAAAAGGAAATTAAGGCCATCAGATTCGCAGCTTAAAAATTCACATAAAGGAAATACAAAAATATGTGTGCTTCTGAGGAGGCTGCACTGTATACAGGGTCCCCGCGCTCCTGTCTGGATGAGGACAGGCGGGGACAGTTCACATAATGGCACAGCTTCTGTTGGACGCTCTGGGGGATCCCTGAGAGGAAAACAGAAGCAACAATCAGAATTAACAATATCACGATGTTCTAAAAATAAAATAAGGACTAAAAACCTGCATACCTACTTAAAACAGGCCTGGTCGTGGCTCACTCTTTTTAGAATCATCGTAATGACTCACGTCAACAAATCCCAGGTGAGCCTCTACACTAGCTGCACCAGGGTTTAAAACAAAGCAAACAAACCAACAGTGATCGAAGCCTGTAAACAAGAGTTTCTCACTTCACTTCATGATTTTTAAGTAATTCTCATACGTAGCTGAGCTGAAAACACCATGGTAAAATAGAAACTCAGGTTACAGTCATAGCAAGATCTGGTCTTAAATAAATAAGAAAAAAATTTAAAAAGTGTTTTTTAAAGAGACGCTACAAGGGCTGTAGAGATGGACGGCTCATTAAGAGCACTGGTTGCTCTCCCAGGAGGACCTGGGTCTGATGCCTTCACTTCAGTTCTGGGGACCCTATGCCCTCTTCTGGCCTCCCCAGGTACTGCATGGTGAGGTGCAGCGATGTGCAGGTAAAACACTCATACACATAAGATAGAAAGGTTTTAAACCTTTATAGTGCTGGGGCATTGTTCACGGTCACTTGCAAAACTCACTTACTATGTGACTTGTGACTCACTCCTAATTCAACTAAAAACTAAACTGAACTAAAACGGAAGGTTATCAGTTCCAGGGTACCAGATCACCGCCACTGTGCTTGGTTTCCCTCTTTTGGCTGTTTTGAACTCTGAGGTTACTATCACCTATGATGATCACAAGCGCAAAACTTAAAACACCTCGGACTTTTTCTTTTTCTCTCTCTTCTCGGAGTCTGCATGAGTCTTAACGAGTCTGCATTTAGCTACCTCCTCAGTTGCTGCAGATTCAACTCCTAACTTAATCTGCCTAGTGATATTCTGGTATTTCATTTCTCTTTGCTGCAGCCTATGTGGAAACTACAGGCCTGGGCAATGTGAACCAACAGCTCAACAGTAGGCTTTGAACCTTATCCTTCCCACAAACCCAACAACACAACTGACAAGCTGATGACTTCGCATCATTGTGATAAGTAACATGGTGGACAGCTCAATGGGGGAGTGCTTCCCTAGCATGCAGGAGCATCCTGGGTCTGACCCACAGAACCACAAGACATTTACAACTCTTAGTTCCTCCTTCCACCAAGAAAAAGACCATTCCCTTCCCCCGAGTGCTGGCTGGTCTTGGCTTACTTCTAGAAAATGAAGTAGAAGGGGTTCTGGGCCCAGCTTTTGGGAGACCTAGCACTTGCTGCTTTTACCATCTTTGCCAGCTGCTATTTTGTGGGAAGCTTGGGCTGAACTAGTGAATCATGAGAATCATACTGGAAGAGTCCTTGCAGACACGCCCAGTCAAACCACAGACTCATGGGACTAAGAAACAGTCTGGGGTATCCTAAGACAGTCCAAACAGTATTGTTTGTCCTTTCATTCCACCCAAACAAGGTCCTATCCTTCAAAACGCTGTCCTCGTGGTATTTTCCACAAGTGTTTACAGTGACACCGAGGCCTAGAATGCCCTCTCCAGTGTGACCTGGCAGGACCCATACAGATCACTGTCCTTAAATGTTATCCTCCTTCTACTCTGTGAGGTTTCCACTGATAGTAGAAAATGGATCCTGGTGCTTGTTTTCCATTAAAGTCAAGTATAACATATTTTCCTTAACTATGCCAGCAAAATGACAAGGCATCCAGATTGAATACAATCCCACAAGAGGTCACACACGTGGGGTTACACATGTGAGGTCTGCTGAGGGCAATGTAGTCTGAATAAGAACGCTCCCCATGGGCTCAGTCATGGGGAGAGACTATTTGAAAGGATTAAGAGGATTAGGGGTGTGTGTAGTTGGAGGAAGTGTTTCAAGAGTCCACGCCAGATCGACTCCCCCCTTACAGGTCAGGATGTTTGCTCCAGTTACTACCCCAGCACTGTGCATGCTGCCACGCTCCCCACCATAACGATGAACTTAAACTCTGAAACTCTTTCTTAAGAGTTGCCTTGGTCATGGTGTCTCTTCACGGCAGAACACCGATAAGAAACAAGGCCAACTTAGATTACAATTATGGAGACAAGCAGACAAGAGGCCAATTAATGACCATGCTCAACAGCTTGAGAATATAAGTTGAAGGCTTAGTTATATTAATATATATTTTTTTCAAAATTTAATGAGTTAGAACTGAATTTGAGGTTTATTTGAAGATTTATACAAAGCCCAAGCATTAGCTAAACTCTTACAATTACTTAACGAAGGGCAACTTAATATAGCAGCAATGAATCTGGCTCCGCTCTGAAGTTCGGTGTGACTCTAGGTTTTGTTTTCTGTTGAGTTTATATGGGAATGCTGCTCTCATTTAGTAGCACAAACTTTTCAGAATCCAATAAATAAACTTCAAGGCATACGAACTAATCTATGCATCTGCAAGTAACACACATGTCCAGCACAACACCAGAAAACAAATGACAAAAGTAAAAGCTAACAGAGAAAGCAAAACTGAAAGGGACTACCTACCATTTCCCAGGGCACCCAACTTGGCTGCTCTGAGCACTGCTTTGCTGAGTGCACACCCAATGGCGACCTGCCACCGCTCGGGTCACAGACAGCAAGGGTTATATAACACACGATGGGTTATCAAGTAACTCTAGCACTAAGAATTATAACAAAGTATACCTGCTGGTGGAAACGCTCCTCCTCAATAACCACTCCAAGGGGCTCTTCCTCCTCCTCTTCCTCTTCAGGTATGGTTGTCTTAAAGACTGTACTTCTCTGAGCAACCTCCTAGAAGCAAGATAGCGAACTCTGAGTAAGCGGCCATGAAAAGGAGGCCCTTCCTTCGCTTAAGGAACAGCATGACTATATCAAGGATTTTTTTAAAGCCATTTCATCAGCAGCTTTAGCTAGTGAATTTTGCGTAATTAGCAGCAGTTAGTAGACCTTCAGTTTTTCCTGCAGGGGAGCTACTGGGATCCAATTTGAAATACCTGCTGAGCAGTTTCTAATGCTTTTTGCCCTATTCTGTTACTAAAAATTCTGTGCAAGTCACTTGGCATACTAAATTCTCTATAAAACTCAACATGAACTCTGCTTAAAGATCTTAGCTATGAAAAAAGAAAAGCTGCTAAATAAACGCTGAATAAAAGAAGCTGGAGGCCAACTGCTGTACCTCAGGGACCACGGGGGCAGCAGGACCATCTCAGCAGTGCCGAGACAAAGACAGCACCTTCCATTCCACCAGGCACTGGGAGCTGAACAGATTAGCACTAATTACTAGCAGCACTGCACTGAGGTCCAGATGTACTGTGGGAAGCAGAGCTCTGACCATTCACAAAGGTGCACAGAAAGTACCTCTTTCCTCTCTCTCCTAAAGGCTGGAGAGAATGATGGGCTGAGCAGACGCTGCCGTTCAAGCACAGGGCTAACCTGACGATCTAGCAGCAAGTAAATGAGTATGTCCTAGAGAGTGTTCTGAGCACTAAAGAAAACTCCACAGTGGAATTACTTCAGTAGAAGCTTTCAACAGACCCCCCTGAGTTAAACAACCCAGCCGGGCAGTGGCGGTGCACATCTTTAATCCCGGCACTCGGGAGGCAGAGGCAGAAGGATCTCTTTGAGGTCAAGGCCAGCCTGGTCTACATAGTGAGTTCTAGGCTCCAAAGCTATACAAAGAAACCCTGTCTTGAAAAACAAAACAAGGCAAAACAAGACTAAGAAATCCCAAAAGACAGTGTCACGAAGACAGTATCCTGGGGACAGTTTCACGTGAAGAGCATCCGTCAATGTGAAGCATATCCAAGGACATGGTTTGTAAGCAAAACAAGCCTCGAAGACAGGTCCTGTATGGTCTTGAATCAGTGCAGCAGGATGGAGGAAGCTAGAGGCCCAGAGGCCCAGCCAGAAGCTTCAGTTATGTGAAGTCAGTGTTTACAAACACAATCAACACATAAGCAGCAGCCTGTCTTAACCAAAACAACATTATAATGCAGAACCCGAGTCCTACAGCAGACATCAAATGGAGCCACACAGATCTTTGACAAGAATCCTAGGGCTCACATGGAAAAAATACCAAAAAGGTACCCAAAAGGTGCGTGCCACTATCTTACACTTAGTTTCCTGAGCACTGAGAGCTAGCATAGTAAGGTTGACAACACAAACATTTACTAGGCCAACAGTGTAAACATTTACAAGGTCAACAGCATAAGTATTTACCAGGTAAGCACTCTGTATCAGATGCTGTTTTGATAAAATGAACATTCAGAGGTGAAATTACTCAAGGCCCCAAAGTCAGCATGCAGTGGAGACAGACCCTGTCAAGGACAATTGCCCCCGCCTGTGCTAATAAATCAATGCCCTCTAAAACACTATTTCCAATGTGCGACGGTTTCCATTTACTCAGTATCAATCACTGGGCAGTCCTGGTCTAACTGAACCTTCAATCACTTCACATTTCATGGGACTGGTGAAATGAGCGCCACAGAGGCTATGGTAGAATGGCCGTACCTCTCCCTGAGAATTCTTCAGTATAACCTTCACATCTTCACCAGTGCCCCAAGAGTTCTGGTTCTTCCAGATGAGGTCAGTTGGAGGACTGGCTGTGACTCCAGCATTTGCAGCCCAAATCTAGAAGAGAGAAAGGACTTAAGTACACCCAGGGTCTTAAGAGCTCAGGGCTCACATATGTCAAGTTCAGCAACGCGATGAGACTAACTCTTCCTCTAATGGTCTGTGAACTGTCTGCACAGCTTAGAGCTTCTGCAGACCTCCGCTTCCTCATATGACAAACGCACAGACACACAAGCCCCTGAAATAAAGCTGCCACAGTCTGGCCTAGCCACTCCACAAAACAGCTGACCCAAAGCAAGTTTTCTTACTGTCTTCATCCACAAAAACGGGCAACAATGGTAGCTCTAACAGGCGGGATCAATGCTGAAGCAATGACCAATACAGAGGTCCCCGCTCATCCAATGGTACGATTAACAATTAATTGCTCTAGAGCAGTGGTTCTCACCTTCCTAATGATATAGTTTTGATACAGTTCCTCACATTGTGGTGATCCCCAAACTATAAAATTATTTCTGTTGCTACTCATAACTGTAATTTTGCTACTAAAGGTGTCTCAATTGCTAAGACCATCAGAAATGTGTTTTCCAGTGGCTGAGGACCTCTGCTCTATGAGTCAAGGGTCACCTTCCAAGAGATACGGACACAGGCAGATACACACGCACACATGTGCATACCCCTCCAATTTCAACAACAGATGATGTTCTATAGCTAACAGTCTACATGCAGGAGAGTGGCTCGTCCCCAGTGGAAGCAGTGTCACAATGCCCCAACGCATCTCTGATTATGTCCACAGAGAACACAGGAAATGTTCCAGGTAAAACATAACTGCTACTGAAATAAACCAGAGAAATTAAATGCATTCCCCTCATCAGCATGGAAATTCTGCCATATTTTTAAAAGTACTTCTTGGCAGAAGGAAACAGACAGAATGGAAAAAACTGGTCATCAGAAACCCCAAGTACCGAGGGAGAGAGAGAGAGAGAGAGATCAACAGGGAAGTGTGCGCTGCTCTGTAGAGAACCCAGGGTCAGTTCCCAGCACCCACATGGGCTTCAGTTTCAGGGAACCTGAAGTTGGCCCCTGGGGCGTGTGCATGGACAAACCTTATGCAATACAAAGACATAGTCTTTTTTAAAAGGAAAAGAAAACCTAAACAAATAGATAAATCCTAGACAAATCATTATACCTCTGCGGTCTTGCTGTCCTCAGTGGCAGATAAAGCAAGCCCTAACCTTAAAAAATTACAAATAAATAAAGAAAAACTGAACTGGTTATTGATTATAAAAGCCTTGATCACCAAAAATGCAAACGGCAGATTCAAGCTCATGCGGAATCTGAGTCTCCATACACACTTCCTCCCTTTAAGTCGCTGTCTTAGGAAAACCAGGCTTTTGGGGGTTTCAGTACTGGAGCAGGAGGAGGTGACTGGACCTGTGCACCACAGATCCCGCGTCACTCCTCTAGATCTGGGCAGAAAGGCCCTGGAGGCATCAAGATCTTCCATGAGCATTACAAATTGAAAGACACATTTACCAGATATAACTGGAAAATGCAACAGGACCTAAACTGGTTTTAGGTACTTCTGGCAATACTTTTCACTGATCTACACAGAGTTACACAGTTGGTTTAGTGTGAGGAATAACATGACAATACGAGGCGTAAGTGCCTGAAATGTGGCTAATTAAATAAAAGATATGCTGTGTACCCACATCTCAAAAACCGAGGAAAGGGTTAACACACTTAACTGAGAAATTTTTTATTGATATGGTTTTTTGTTTTGCTTTGTTTGGGGGATGGGTTGTTTTTTGATACAGGGTTTCTCTCTGTGTAGCCCTGACTGTCCTAGAACTCACTGTGGACAAGGCTGACCTCGAACTCAGTGCCTGCTTCTGTCTCCTGAGTGCTGAGATTGAAGGTGGGCCCCACTATGCCCTGCTTTGATATGATATTCTGAACAACAGTTCCAGAATTAACTTTATACCTTATACCTTTCTAACCTAACAAGGCTGGGCGGTGGTGGCACACACCTTTAATCCCAGCACTCAAAAGACAGAGGCAGAAGGATCTCTTGTGAGTTTGTGGCCAGTCTGGTTTACAGAGCAAGTTCCAGGACAGGCTGCAAAGCTACAGAGAAACCCTGTCTCAAAAAATACTAACAATAAATTTTTAAAAGCATACATAGGATTTTCATCTTAGCTCTTGGTATTTGGACTGATCCTGCATTTGCCTTGTACAATGTCTGGGAAATCTCCCTCACTATTATGTTCCAAAAAGCTGATCACAATGTGAGCTACTAAAGAAAAAATGCACTGTGTTATCTCACATGCTAACAGTCCTTCTACATAACACCTACGGTGCTGGTATCTGGGGCAGTACATCCAGCGGGGAAAGCAGATGATTGGCACAATGGCCCCACATTATGAGAGACAGAGAATATTCAAATCGAAACCTTCTGAATTAAAAGAGCGAATTCTTTTAAACACATTATGCAGTTTCCCTACGACATACAATAGAACCAAGCAATCTTCTCGCTATAATTACTAAAGAGAATAATAGAGCAGTTAGGATATTTGTTCTCATTTTCACCCATTATTACAAAATTAACCCCTGCTATTTTCAGAGAGATGTCAAAGCTCTCTATACTTTATAGGAGTTCTAACCTGCATTCTGAGCCTTTCATCTTAAATAGTAAGGTTTGTACTAAGAAAAATTATAAATATGTGTGGGAGGCTAAGACAGAATTGTGATCATTTCAAAGTCAGCCTGGGCTGTAGATAGAAGGAGACCTAGGCAGCGAGGGGGCAGCCAGGTGTGGTGGTGTCAAGCTTTAATCCTAGCATTTGGGAGGCAGAGGCAAACTGAACTCAAATGCCAGTCTGATCTATAGGGCAACTTCCAGGGCAGCCAAGGTTACAGAGACCTTGTGTCAAGAAGAGAAAAAAATAATTAAATAAATGAAGGGTGTGCATGTGTGGTATAAATATGCTAAAAATAGGTACCTTTTGTTTTCTTGAGACAGGATCTCATACAGCCCAGGCTGGCCTCAGACTCACTGTGTAGCTGTGAATGGCCTTAGACTCCTGCCCTCCACTCCATTTCCCAAGTTCTAGGACTGTTAAGTGTGGTCATCACACTCGGCAGCACTTTGCTATTTTTTCTAAGAATCCACAAAAGCAATGAGCAGTCACATCTACATTCTTCAAGGATGAAATGCCTTCTTTGAAAAGAATGAAGTTAACAGATTTTCCTGTTTCATAATTTGCTTGCTAAGTAAAACCAAAGGAATCTTTTGCTTGTTATTGATTTACACTTCTCTAAAACTCAATGAGTTACTGTTTTAAATGTGCTTTAGAACATATCGGTAGAAAGCTAAGTTATAACAAAGAATTAGAATGCCATTTAGCCCACCTCTCAAAATCTAGAAACTTAAACGATGCTATACCAAAAGTCCAGCACTCTGAATAACCTCTGTATGCTGTGAATACCACTGTTTAATAAAGAAACTGCCTTGGCCTGTTGATAGGGCAGAACTTAGGTAGGTGGGGAAAGCTAAACTGAATGCTGGGGAGAAAGGTGGAGTTAGAGAGAAGCCATATAGTCCCGCAGGAGACAGTCGCTGAAACTTTGCCTAAGCCACTGCCACGTGGCAATACCCAGATTAATGGAGATGGGTTAAATTAAGATGTAAGAGTTAGCCAGTAAGAAGCTAGAGCTAATGGGCCACGCAGTGATTTAATTAATACAGTACCTGTATGGTTATTTCGAGTCTGAGCTGCCAAGCAGCCAGGAACGAAACAAGTGGTCCCTTGCTACACTATCCCTGCCTGGGAGGACATTTTTGAAGGGGAGTGGTCTGTTTTGTTTGCATTTGTACATCTGTGTAAGTGAGTCAAGAAGAGGGCAGGTGTCAGGTCCCCTAGAGCTGAATCCACAGGTGGTTTTAAGCCACCTGATATGGGTGCTGGGACTGAAGCTGGTCCTCTGGAAAAGTAGCAAATAGGTATTTCAGGATTTCTGGAGACTAGGTTTCTCTGTGTATCCCTGGCTATCTTAGAACTCTATAAACCAGGCTGGCATCAAACTCAGAGATCTAGCTATCTCTGCCTTCCTAGCCCTGGGTTAAAGGCCTGGCTTTTATTTTCTTCTAATTCTTCCTGAGATTTTTCTTGAGATTTTTCACACAAAGTATTTTGAGCATATTCCTGCCCCGTCCCCAGCCCCTCCCCTCACTGCTTCTCTCTCCCAGCCCTTCCCAGTTAGTGTTGCCAGTCTTGGGATTGGAATGTGGTCAGCCTATTAGGAGTCACAAACACATTAAAGGAAACTGAGTCTCTTTTCCCCACAACTATCAAACGCCAATGGCTCCTCAGCTAGTGATGAGTTTTCATGTCTACCTTCCCCTGAATGCTGGGATCTCACCTGGCTGGAGCTGCAGAAAGAGCTCTCAACTGGTCCATCTCCCCAGCTTAAGCACATTATTTGAGACAAAGTCTTGCTAGTATGCAGATCAGGTAGCTTTGAACTTGCAATGTTTGGCCTCAACCTCCCAAGTAAAAGAGTTGCAGGCATGTGCAGCCAACAACATCTGGCTGCTGAAATCCAATCCCGCAACTTCAACCAAGGCTTCAACATGTTAAAATTTGTCCAAGGCAATTTAGGTAGCCGCTGCTTTAGGCTGATGCTGGTATTAGCTTCCTACAATTCTTCATGCTTACAGTATCTTGGATTGCATTAGGTACAAGCATCAGTCAAGAGGGAACTATTTTATACCCACTGACACACACACACAAAATCAATTCTTTGTACCACTCTTACCTTAACAGCACACATAACCTACTAATGTAAAGACATTCATAGTCCTTTTCTAAAATGCTGGTATTTCAGCCAAGCTGTTGTTTTGTTTTTCATTATAACTATTTTATCTGTGATTAAGACAATGAAGTTAAACAATGACTGAGTTAATTCACTTACTGTAACAGTCTGGCCAGCCTTCAGCACATATCTTGAGGTATATTTGTAAGTGACCGAAGTGTCTCCAATTTTTCTGATCATCTCCCAGCCTCCCATTGGTTGATCCTAGTCACAAAACAATATGACAAGGTTACTTTACAAATACAGAAAACTATGAAATAATAATCCATGAACCCATAAAGGCTCTGAAGCTAAGGCCTTCCCAGGATAGGCACTGAACTTTGTCTCCAGTAAAGAGTAACTTCATGAACACTGCACCCCACCAGGAAGGTTCTGAATTTTAAAGGGGACAAAACAGGGGGGAGACGAAAACACAGCAAAGCCTAGTGTTCACTGCTAAATCAGATAGGTCCTCATGACTTACAACAAAACTGAGCCATGAAATCATAAACAAAACACCTAATGTCTGACCACTTTCCATTTTAAATTATACAATCTCTCGGCCGACAAAGAAGGGAATTTTGTTTTTGTCTTCTGCATCTGGGCCAGCTTTGCCCAAAAGTAACAATTTTTTTTTTAAACTGTTACTAAAAGGGTTTATAGCTAAAGAGGCAGAAAGACAGCAAAGTAATCAAGCTCCCCTCTAGGCTAGCCTCCCCTCTGAGATCTGGAAACACCAGGCTAGAGCAATGGTCGCTACTCTGTTTCCAAGTTGTGGCCAAGCAGCCCCAGAGCCCAGCCCCAGAGCCCAGTCTCTGACTTAGGAAAACAGTGGTGCATGCACAGCAGCCTGGTAAGAAAGGGAGTGAGCTCACAATTTTTAGCAGACCCTGAACATTTGCTTCAAGTGACACTGCCTTCCCTGTGCTGAATCTCTGCTACCCCCAACACCACCCCACATCTTCACAGTTTCATCCATGAGAACCAGAGAGCTTAGAGTCCTGGTTCTAAACCTCAGAAATCCCTGTAGTGGATACTTCCTGTTCAAATAAACTATTTCAAGACAGAGATTCATGTTATTACTATGTTTATATGAATAAGATAAAGAACATTTGTTCATTCATTAACTTTGAGAGGAAAAGCTCCTTCAACATACCTGCCTGCACCCACATCCTTCTACAAAGCTTTTATTAATAACTGTGACTACACCCACCTGGCTGCAGAAAACTTCTGCTTCATCTTTGGGAAGGCCATCATGAAAGGGCCAAATCTAGGCAACAGGTCAAACAGCTTTATAAACCAAGATTCACAAAGAAAATCTTAGGCTGGGAAGGTGATTTAATGGGTAACAGTAGTTGCCATCAAGGCTGATAACCTGAGTTCAATTCCAGAACCCCACATGGTGGAAGTAGAGGGGACTCCTCCGACCTCCATACCCAGCACATGGACACCAACCCTACCACCATAATAAATAAACAGGCATAAGAAAGAAAAAAGAAAATCTGGCATATGCATTTAATCCCAGCACTAGGGAAACAGAGGCAGGTGGATCTCTGTGAGTTCGAGACCAGCTTGGTCTACAGAGTGAGTTCCAGGGTAGCCAAAGCCACACAGAGAAACCCTGTCTCGGAAAACCAAAACCAAACAAAAAACAAAGAAAATCTGCAGGCCACAAAAGTCTTTAAGACTGAAGCACACATGGTGGACAGCCATTGCTTTCCACAGCGGTCTGCAACCCAGGCCCAGGGAGATGGGTCCTTTCTTTACCTGTTCAGAAGTGTTCTTCAAGCGGATAAACTTGCCATCAACATCTATCTCTTCAATGCACACATTCCCGGTGGCTGAAGCTGAGTGGGAAATGCTAACACTACTGCTCGCCTCTGACTCTTCCACGTCGACCCTCTTCCGTTTTCCTCGAGTGGTGCGAACGCTGCGACTGGACGACGCTCTGGACACGGTCACCCGGGAAGAAGGACTTGGAGAGAGCTTTAACCTGCACAGGGAAGAAAAGTTCTGCTGACGGAGTGCAAGCGTCTGCCTCACTTAGGCTTTGGGCTCCATGGGCATTTCTAAAGTGAGGACAATAAATGTCTTACCTAACGCAACATCCAGTCATGTTGGGATATTACATTACTAAAGCAACTAAAATCTCCAATGAAAGAGCCCACTTGATATTTAAAGTAATAACAATAAATGAAGATCTATTTCTAGGGTCTGGAGAAATGGTTCAGAGGTTAAGAGCACTGGCTGCTCTTCCAGAGATCCCAAGTTCAATTCCCAGCAACCACATGGTGGCTCACAACCATCTATAATGAGATCTAATGGCCTCTTCTGGTGCGCAAGCACACATGCAGGCAGAACACTATTCATAATAAATAAATATTTTTTTAAAAAAGTCTATTTCTATTTAAAACTGATGACAGAAAATTTCAAAGTCACTTTCTTCCTTTTTAAAAGAAATGTTTTCTTTTCCTTACAAGGGAGAGCATTTAATAATGCAATTACTTTCCATGTAATACATTTGGAAATATGTACTAAAAGACATGTAAACCAGTTGTGTTATTCATGTTGGAGAATATACTAGGTTTTATTTTTGTTTTTCAAGACAGGGTTTCTCTATGTAGCCCTGGCTGGTCTTCAACTCACAGAGATCTCCTGAGCACTGGGATTAAAGGAGTGCACCACCTCGCTGAGATGCTCTAGGTTTCTTAGAGACACTTTGGAATGCTTGAGTTCCTTGCATGGGATAGTAAATCCTAGTCGGGCTGTTTTGTTCATTAAGACAAATGATAAATGTCTTAATGAGACAGAAGAGAAGGCTTTAAATTAAGGCAGTTCTAAAATACTGGATATGAGAGAGAAAGAGAGAGAGAGAGGATGGCCCACCTATGGAGGTCAGAGTACAGAGAGGAAAAAAGTGAGAGCAAAATGCAGCTTGCGGGGCCTGGGGATGCCAGAGAACCTTACCGCTCCTCCTCGCCTTCTAAGAGCTTCCGGTAGGCGCTGATCTCCATGTCCAGGGCCAGCTTCACATCAAGCAGCTGCTCATAATCATTCAGCTGCTGCTGCATTTGGTCCCTTATCTCCGCCATCTCTCTCTCTTTGTCAGACAGCATGCGGCGAGAGTTGTCTTTCTCTTTAGCAAGCATGTCCTCCAGTTCTTGAATCCTTTCCAAACACGCTCTAGACTTCAGAGTCAAAGGAGCACATTCACTTTCTAGGACCATTTCAACATGAGTACAAGGCAGCTATTTTAAACCATCTCCTGAACTGGAGAGCAAACACAGCCTCGCAGGAGCTCTAACTCAGAGCTCAAAAGATCCTGACTATGAGAAATTAAACCCCAACTCCTTAAAATATAAAACACAGCTCTTATAAAAGCTTTGGGTAACAAAAGCCTAAAAAGAACTATTTCTCAAATTAAAGTTTGGAAATGTATGGGTAAGTTGTCAGTATTGTCCAAATGAACATTTCCCCTACAGCCATGGAGCCCTAGAGTCTGCCTTTCCTGCAGGGTCCTCCCGCCAAAGGGAACAGTCCTGGGTATGTGAGAGCATGCTCTGACCAGCTGCTAGGGCACGTTCTTAAAACCAAAGCAAAGGGTTCTGGCTACCGTGTTGAATGTGCAGTCTCTTTAGGGTAGCCCCACCATGCCCTGTTCAGTTACACAGCACACGTGCTACATGGTAATATGTGTAAAAATGTTACTGGAAATACAGAAGCTTTATCTGGCATACAAAGTTAAAAAAAAAAAAATCACATTCTACACCAGGAAGTTCATCCTCAAAACCTTGTAGCTCACTGGGTAATCATTCACCCATGTTTCTCCATGACAGAATTCCTCTCAGTAGCCTCAGGAAATGACAGGAGTAATCGGCTCAAAAAGAATGGTGGAAGCCAAGGCCCTCAGAATCCCAAGTATCCACACCAGCGGCAGAGACAGGGACTTACTGTGAACAAACTTACACTGTACTAAATACTGCACTACTAGACTCAAAATTTTAAGCACATACTGGGGCTCAACAAGTAACTCGATGATAAAAACAAAATTTCTCAGACAGGGGTTACAAACAGGCAAGAAACCAAAAAATAACCCTGTAGTATCATATGAATTTCTGCTTAACTTAATATAAATACACTGTGCAATGGTGGTGCACACCTTTAATCCTAGCACCTGAAGGCAGAGACAGGCGGATCTTTGTGAGTTCAAGGCCAGCCTGGTCTGCAGAGCAAGTTTCAGGACAAGTTCCAAAGCTGTAGAGAAATCTTGTCTCAAAAAATTAAACATATGACTAGACAGAACAATTACAGATTATGGCTGTGCTAAATTAGCATGTGCATGTGTACACAAAGGGTATATAACCTGTTCTATGAGAAGGCATGTGTGTGCACAATCTATTTTATAAGATGGCCCAGAAGCAGTTATCAACATCAAAAAGCACACTGTGTGTTTATGCATGCGCACACCTGCACCTCATGTCCATTCTATGAGAAGGCCCAGATGTGGGGGTGAGAGGGTAAATAGCATGTTCTACAAGGCCCAGGGGGGAATAACCGGCTCTATGAGGGTCCAAATGTGTGTTGGGGAGTGTATGACATGTACAGATATGTAGGGGGGAGTGCACATAGGGGTATAACCTGCTCTATGAGGGCCCAAATGTGTGTTGAGGAGTGTATGACCTGACCCATGAAAATGCTCAGATATACAGGTGTGGGTGTCAGGGGCCAGAACTTATTCTGTCCTATGAGAGGTCCCAGAAGCAGAGACAGCAGAGCACACTCGTGTCCAGATCTCGACACTCACAAACCATTATCCAGTAAAGAGAACCAGGACTTCTTAGAGAAATATTTGATTCTATGGCTGGGACACAGAAAATTTATGGTAAACCGAAAGCATATTTTAAAACCAGGTAATAGATGATCCTAGGGCTGTGGCTCAGTGGAGTCCCTGCATAAAATGCACAAGGTCCTGGGTTCAATCCCCAGCAACACAGGAAAATAAAACTTCCAAGAGTGATCGAGCTAGAGAGGTGACTTGGTGGCTTTAATAGAGCAGATTTATAATGAGTAATAGATCCCTCTCCCTAGAACATGGAGCTTATTATTAATTCTTGTTTTGGTGGGCCAGACAGCAGGAAATAAAGACCACTGACCATCAACAGTGAAAGAAAGCTGGTAAATGCCACCATAGTCACACATCCCCAGTGATGGTCACATGTCTGTAATAGGTGATGAAAACGGGCACCTGAAACCCACAGCCTGTCCAATCACGTGACAAACACCAGGCAAACCCAGACTGAAGAGTAGCTAGAGGAACACCAGGCCCATTTTCCTTGAAACTCAGTCATTTAAAAAAAAAAACAAAAAACCCACAACCCACAGGCATATCCTATAAGACTATTAGACCAGGAAAGTAGGAAGTATGTGATTCCCTGGAACACAAAGAGGGCAACAAGAGAAAAACTGGCAGAACCCATGTAGTCTACAGTCTAGTTAACAGCAATGCACCATTGCCAGTTTCTGCATTTGACCAATGTCCTGTGGTAGCACAAGATGCTAACGCAAGCAAACCAGGTAAAACAGAGGACTGTCCTGTTTCTACGTTACTCTGAATCTAAAATTTGGCCAATAAAGGGTCAGTAAGATGGCTCAGCATCCTGATAACCAGAGTTCCATGCCTGGAACCCACATGGTGAAAGGGGAGGAACCAATTCCAGAAAGTAGCCTCTGACCTCCACACACCAGCCACTGAGGGCACAGCAAAAGGGAGGGAGACCACACGGCGGCCTCAGATCCTCCCTCCACTGAACTGCACTGCGGAGCCATGCTGTAAGGAGTCCACTCCCCACCCGTGTCTCACTTAGTCTCTAGTTCCTTTCTAAACAAGCTAAATTCAAAATGCCTACTCGTCAATCTCTTCACTTTAGGGGTGTTTGCCACTAAACCCAGCAACCTAAGTTCAATCCCCAGAATCCACATGGAAGGAGACAGACACTCAGCTCCCACACATTGTCCTCTCCCCTCCATATGTGTCATGGAACACACGCACACATGCAATAAATAAATGGGAAGAAAAAAAAATCAACAAGTTAGCACCGAGACAATGCACCGAAACCAAAGGTCTCTACCGCACACTGCTTTTGACAATACAGAATTAAGAGTGAAGAATCAATCTAGGTGTAAAACCTTCTTAAAATACTATGAGTTGATTCATTATTTTAAATGGAAATGTTTAAGTTTTACATTAAATATCTGGTTACACCTTTGTAGACACATAAAGAATCCGAGAGAGAGGTCAGACCCAAATGCCCCTAGATCTGCCATTCATCCCTGGACAGTCCACCCACACTATACAACAAAGGGATGGAACAAGCTTACCTCCAGATCCTGCGTCAACTTTACAACTTTATGCCTGACATCGATGATCTCAGATTTATGCTTAAGACTTCATTTATTTTTATGGATCTGAGTGTTTTGCCTGCATTTCATGTATGTAGACCATGAGATGAGTGCCCGGTGACAACAAAGGTCAGAAAGGAGTGACAGATTCCCTGAACCTGGACTCAGATGGCTTTGAATTGTCCTTTGGGTTCTGGGAACCAAACCCGGATCTTCAAAGAACACTAAGTCACTTAACCACTACTGAGTCATTGTGCTAGCTCCCAGTCTTACTTAAAATTCGTAACAACACAGTGGTACTGATTCATTTATGATACAGATGCAGTAATAGTTCCCAGAGCTGGGTGTTAGAAAACCAGAGCCATGTGTCTCTGGTATGCCACTCTTGTAAGGCAGGTAGACTCAGATCAAATACAAGTACAAAATTCCTAGCACCAAAACAATATTGCTATCATCTATATACTTAAACCTATCTTCTAAATGTATTTCTCGAAAGGTTGCTTCAATCTGAAATTTAAGAACGTCATAAGCGATGGGCCACATTCGCAGGAGGAAAGCCTTATGGCCCAACAGCAGCATGACGAAACTACCATGACTCAACACACTCAGACACACTACGGAAGAGCACGAAACAGATCTCCTTTCTAAGATGGAAAACAATCACCAACACCTCTTATCAAGCTGGATACAGTGGCACATACCTGCAATCCCAGTACTTGGGAGTATAAAGCAGGAAGACTGGGCGAGTCTGAAGCCTGCCCAGGAACCCAGCAAGTTCTAGGACTACACTACACATACATGATGTGTGAATGTCTTCATTTATTCCTCAACATAAAAGCTATCAGTACTGCCTAGAGGGAAAGATTCCCTCTGCCCTGATAAACTAAAACCTAGCTGGAGCTGGTGCTTGTTTACTAGGGCAGTAGGCTCCTAGAAACCCCAAGAATGCCAGTTTAAAATCCACTAACCTGAAGGCACTTATACGAAAGGGAGTGAAAACAGCAGAGAAACAGGAAAAGACTGAACCTGGGTCAGGACCTAGACCTGATTCAAGTCCCCAGACCTACCACTATTTAACCACAGTCAGTCTCTGCCTCCTTGGCTGTAAAACAAAGATCAGCCTCAAGAGAAGTGAAGCCAAATGCGAGCACCATCTGATGAGGGAGTGGTGAGTGCGTGGTATCAAATCAGCTCATCGAAGGAGCACAATGGCCCACTTCCAGAAGCTACCAGTTAATGTCCTCCCCCCAAAGTCACATGTTGAAAATCCTACTTTCCAACATGGCAGAAGAGAGACGATCTTTCTATTGATTCCTCCCAATGAGAGTTAGTACTTTCATAAAACAGGCTCTGAGTAGTATGTGTATTTGCCCTCCAATAGCGAGAAGACACGAGACGGCCTGATCTGAGGAAATGGAAATAGTCTCACCATTCAGTCCTCCCTGGTCTTAGCCTTCCCAATTCTGAACCAGGGCCTTTGCAGCTGGCTCAGTGAGTGACGTGCTCAACAAGTAACCGTGAAGACCCGAGATGTGGGGGGGGGGGCGTGCATGTGTGCGCACGCGTCTGCAGTTTACAACATTTTGTTGGGCAGCCCAAGAGAACTGAGGCAGATGGTGCAACAGAGAACAAATTCCTCAAAGAACATTTTCAACAAGAGCTGGGTATGAAAGAATCCTGGGAAGGATGAGAAAAACCCTTTGGTATCCTGACGCCTCTGGCAAGTCATTAAGCTCACCATGCTCTGTGGTCTGATCATTGCTGGGTGAAAAGTTCAAACTATAGCAGGACAAGCTCCAGACTAATTCTGAGATAACGGAAAGCTTTATGACATGAGTGATAAAGAGCACAGGCAGCCACGTAAACATCCGCGCTGGCTGTTTACTGCCCTAGCTCAGGTGACTGCTTTTCTGTTTCACTTTCAGAAGCTCACAATAAATGTTTTATACCTCTAAGAAGATTTTGGTAAAAAGAAAAAAGAAAGAAACAGAAAGAAAAGTTTGCTCAATAAATAGCATGAAGTTTAAACAAGTTTCTCCGCTCAGGAAAGGAAAGCTGGAATTACTTCCCACATAATTAAAGAGAGCGGCAATGTTGAATCCACGTGATTCCACATGTCAGCTTTATTTATCCAGCATCGCCCTGTAATGGAACTGACTCAAAGCCACATCCAGGCCTACACTCACCTCACCCGGACCATGCCGCCACAGCAGACATCCCATCAACAAAGAAATGCAGTCACCTGTCACTGAGGTTTATGGGTAAGTTGAGGCCAGTGGCTTACTAATGGATGCAGAGATCATAACCATTAAGTAATTTCACACTGCAAGGGGGGAAAAAGGCATTCCGCCCACAATTTTGTTTTCCTTCAGTTTGTTTTCAAAGTGTGAAGAGAAGGAGAGAGTGGGAGCAGGGCCGCAGAGATGAGACTGAGCACTATCGTGGCACGCCAGTGGTGTGTGTGTGTGTGTGTGTGTGTGTGCAGAGAGGGATCCAGAGGTCACCACATAACCTCCTAATTAATTAGGAATAAGGTGCTGTTCAGGTGTTTTGGGAAGGAGGGGGAATTTTGAGACAGATCTCATTACATAGCCCAGGCTGGCCATGCATTCACTATCTAGCCCAGGCTGGCCTTGAATTTCCAGCAGTCCTCTTATCTCTGCCTCTCAGGTGCCGGTATTGCTGGTGTGCACCAAGCTATGGGATATTTGTGTGATGAAAAAAAAATCTAAAAAAGCACTATAAGAAAACCAGGAGGGAATGTCTCATCCCTGACGAAGGCAGAGCAATGGCCCAGGTGGCCAGCCGTCCAGTGAACTTCCATTCTGCCCTGAGGCAGAGGCCTACTCACCTCTTTCTGTAGGTTGGAGAGTTGTGAGGAAAGGCTCTCGATCCTCATGCGGCTCTCCATCAGCTCCTCCCTGGCACTGTTGACAGTGGAAGTGTTCATCTCTGAGGACAGCCTGGCGTTCTCCAGCTGTAAGAGCAGGAAGCCGTCAGTCTTAATCAGCAAATGAGGAAGCAGGACTGACCAAGACACTTCCAACCTAAGCCCTGCCGGTAACTGGCTGACGAAACAGGAAAATCATGACTGGTCGGCTGACGCCATCACCAGACACCGGTCTTTTCACACTCGCTTCTAAAGCTATGGATTTAAACAACTTCAATGAATCTAGTTCAGTACTCCATCCCCTAAACATTTACTATCTAGGGTACCACTAACTAACGACAATAAAAACTTGGCTGTAGTGATTGATGTTTCTAAAGCAAACCATCTATATTCCAAACCCACCAAATCTAACATAGAATAGACTTTGTAACCAGATAGTTCCTTTCAGAAGCAAAAGTGAATCTCATAAAAAAAACAACGCCTACATGTCCAAATGCCGCATGTGCTGTGTGCGTGTGTGCACACGTGGTGTTATAGAAAGGAATGAGAACTAGCGATGGGAAAGTGTTTCGATGTTTCTTCTCTAGTTCAGTCTGTGGACTCTCCCGCTCTTCAGCTGTCTAGCAAGTGCGGGGTGGCTTCAACTCGCTTCATTAGATGCCAGCACTAACATCAGTGTGAGGCCAAGCAATGAAAATTATTCTAAATGACTGCATCGACTGTCTAACTCTGCCTCGAACTAATATTTTTCATTTAGTCATATAACATTTAACATAAGAGAAAAATCATTTGCAAACAAAACCAAGACGTATCATGTGATGTGTTCATGACCGTGGGCTGTCTGCACATTTCTAAAATGAACACTGTCAGAGTTCCCATTGTCCTTTCTATAAAACAGAACAGCCACCCAAATGGAGCAACACATCTGCATACACAGGCAGTGTGGACATCAGAAGCCGCAGTGCAGAAAGGCTCCGGAAGCACTTGGGACTGCACAGTATTTAAGATGCTTCAGGCCTAACTGCTGATGTGACGTGAGTGGTCGTCGACACAAACATAACCCTTTACTTCTAGCAATACTGGAATAACCCATTTCCATCTACATCCTAGTAGCATTTAGTCTATATGAAGGCACACTAAAAATACATTATGTTTATTTCTCAAGAATAAGAGAATCATTTCTTTCTTCTATTTTTTTTTAAGATTTATTACGTATACAGTGCTATACAGTATTCGGCCTGTAAGCATACCTGCCAGAAAGGGCACCAGATCTCATTGCAGATGTGTATGAGCCATCATGTGGTTGCTGGGAATTGAACTCAGGACCTTTGGAAGAGCAGTCAGTGCTCTTAACCTCTGAGTCATCTCTCCAGTTCCTTTTTTTCTAATTATTTAAAGTTTCTTTAAAATTTTTCTTCATTATTTTATGTGTATAGGTATTTTATTTGCATGTATATTTGTACGCCATACTGAATGCAAAGGGAGAGTACTGTATCCCATGGGACTATAGTCACACACAGTTATGAGCTGCCATGTGGGTGCCGGGAATTGAATTCATGCCCCGGAAGAGCAAGCAGCCTAACCACTGAGCCATCTCTCCAGACCCTTGTTCTGGTTTCTAAAAAGGATTACTGTGGATGAGAGAGCTCAGCAGTTAAGTTCTGGCTGCTCATCGAGGACTCAGGTTCAATTTCCAGCACACACATGGTAGCTCACAACCATCTATAATTGTAATCCCATGGGATCCAATGCCCTCTTCTGGTATGCAAATGTACAGACAAAACACTATACACATAAAATAGATAAATAAATAAAACTTAAAAGAAAAGCCTAGAACAAAAGAAGTAAGTGGCCTTCCTCAGGATGCCCGAGGTGCTCACCTTGGCGTGGTAGGTCTGCTCCAGCTCCTCCTTGTACAGCCTCACTTGGGCGTCGTGCTGCTCTCGCATCTCGTGCAGAGCCTGAGCCAGCTTGTACTCATATTCAATCTGCCGCCCAGAGTCCACTTCCACCAAACGTGTTTCATGCTTCCTTCTTGTCTCGTTGATCTCCTGCAGGGAGAGATAACATAAAACCAAGTTGTTTACAAGGGCCACACTAGCACCAGTCTGAGAAACCCCAGGGCTATCCATCTGATGCTTCATATACTAACCTCAGAACAGGCCCACGATCACTGTTGCCTCAGTTTTCAGGTAGAATATCTCTGGGTATAACTAATGGCCTAACGACGTCCTAGGAACCTCCCAGCTCCTTTCAGGGGTACAGCTATTTCCCTTCACTGACGGCAAGAAATGGCCTGATGGTTTACTAAAGCGCTACGGAACTGTGGGGACCTAGACACACCAAACACTAAACAGGGTTTGTGTTTCTAAGATGCTTACTAGCAATCGTTCAGATACCTCTAGAAGACAAGGAAAGTCAAATCTGACAGCACAACCTCAGGGGTGTGTGAATCCTTAGAATCTGCTGTTCCACTATTAGTAACCGTGTAGTAGGGTCTTATTCACAGCACTATCCTTGACTAACCCTTCACTGTTTTAAGAAACTGTCCAAAGTCGGTGGTGGTGGCGCACACCTTTAATCCTAGCACTTGGGAGGCAGAGGCAGGTGGATTTCTGCTAGTTCGAGGCCAGCCTGGTCTACAAAAGCTCCAGGACAGGCACCAAAGCTACAGATAAACCCTGTCTTGAAAAAAAAAAACACAAAAAAAAAACACAAAACAAAAACAAATAAACATAAAACCCAGAAACTGCCCAAATAACCTGGAATAGGGAATGTGGCTAGGTACAGAAGCCCACTAATAAAAATTGCCTGTTTTAGCTTCTCATTATGAACATGTGTCCCGAGTGGGAATAATTAAAGAAGTCACAAGGGGGCACTATAACCCATTACAGTTGATTGTATAAATTTGTATAGTGCTAAGGATTGACCCCAAGATCTCACAGGTTAGGTACATATTATATCACCTACCTAATGCCTACTCCTAAATGTATTTTCCTTCATATTTATTTGTGGTTCTCTTAACCATTAAAAAAGAAAATATACTTGGGGGAAAAAAATCAGAAACCCAGGCTTGAAATCACAGCTCTGTTCCCGAGCTAAGGGCTCTTTGAGGAAACAAGGCTAGAGAAAACTGAGCCCTAGCTACCAGCATATCCTTGTCAACCTCCTTGGGTCTTTTTCTCCTTCCTCCTCCTTTCCTCCTTAACTGTTTGTAATAAAAAGATTAAATGTTTTTATTGGGCAGAGTCCTCAATGTTGGAACAGACTAGGAGAATGAAGTAGTATTTCAAGATCATTCTAAAAAAAAGACAGACACCAAATATTCAAACATATTTCCCACTATAAAAAATACTGAATTATATTGTTGCTGCCATTTCTCAATTACTATCTTATGTACAAGAAACATTTCTAGTTTCTTTACCAATAACATTAAGACAAATGACAGAGCAGGGACAGCCATAACAAAGCAAAACAAAAACATAAATCCACTTAGATAATTCAATGCTTATTATCAATTTAGAGATCAGTGCTGGCTACACATTACAAGAAACTTTTGTATGCAGTATTCATTTTGATTCTTTCCACTCCTTACGTGGAGAAGTAGGGCCAGTGTTTGGTTTGTTCTTTACATGCATGTGTGGGCCTTGGAGTCCAGCAGCCAGCTTATCCTAGGATCTCCTGTATCTGTCTCTAAAGCGCTAGGATTTTTTGGCTTTTTTGATTATTATGAGGTATGGTAACTCGTTCCTTTTTATTTAATTTTATGTGTCTGGGTGTTTTGTCTGCATACATGCCTAGCACTAATGGAGACCAGCGGACGGAGTTACAGTTGTAAGCTGCCACGTGGAAGAGCAGCCAGCACCACTGAGCCATCTCTACAACCTACCTGTTTGCCTTTGTCACAAGTTTGCTGGGGTCCTCAAAATTGCATGGCTAGTGTTTTATCTACTGAGCCATTTCCCCAGTCAGTATTCAGCTTTAAATAAGAAACTGGCTCAATTTGTCCCCAAGATCTGACTGCTTTTCTAGTTCACTTGGCAACAGTAATATCTTTTTTTTATGTATATGAATATCTTGCTTTCATGTATGTCTATACTGCTTTCAAGTCTTGTGCTCAAGAAGGTCAGAAAGGGAGATGAAGCCCCTGAAATTAAAGTTAAGAATGGCTGCAAACCACCATACGGATGCTGGGACTTGAACCTGGGTCCTCTGGAAGAGCAGCTGGTGCTCTTAACTACAGAGTCAGGTCTCCAGTTCCAACAATACCAATCTTAAATACTGTTCTTACAAAAATGAACCAATTCTTGTTATTTTCTCTAATTTAAATAAAACAAACTTGTTTCTAATTCCTACTTGATCCTAGAGATCAAGTAAGTTTAGAGTCACTGTTAGCAAATGGCAAATGTTCCACACCCACACTACTCTGAAAGACACTGACTCCTTAATGGCTTACCTTCCTCCTTAATTCATGCCTATCTGCTTCAATCCTCCGGAAACACACATCACGGCTTCCTCTTTCTAATCACAGCTGCATTGCTGACCCTTCAACCACTGCAAGGATGGTCAATGCTACTCCAAGTTTTACATAAACACCTATAAATATTTCGAGTAGCCAGACTTCAATAAAGCCACTAATAATTTCATCCTCTGGTGTTCAGACTTAATGCAGTCCCTTTCTCCACAATGCGCCAGAAGTAATGGTCTATTACTTCATCAATTAGGTCAATAAAAGAGAATGTGGCTTCTCCCTTGTTCTGCTCACTCTCTCATGGCTCTCTCTGAAGAAAGCACATCCGAAGAAGCCGTGTGCAAAGGACAAGTGGCAAGGGACTGATGCCTCCAGCCTCCAGCCTTGCAGTGAGCTCAGAGGTACTTCTTCCGGCCCAGCTAAAGCTTGACAACACACTCATGAGCCCGGCCTCCAGGTTCCGTATCTCTAAACAGTGTGACGGTCAAAGACTGTGGTTCTAAATTGCTGCATTTGGAGAAATCTGCTGGGCAGCCATAGCTGAAACAATCGCTTAAGCATTTCTGACGGTCCAGCTGGGACAGAGTCCGTCAGAGGTGACCTAGTGCTGTGTACTCAGCGGCTTCAGTTTTTAGTGCTTTTAGCATTGGCACCCGCAAAGTGTCTCCTATCCCCCAAACCTACCATCTCTTTATCAGCTCTCTTTTCTTTATAGAAAAGAAATAATACTTTGTTGTTATCTTTACTTAGTGGGGGGTTGTGCCGCACACAAGTGACTGTACCCACACAGAGGCCAGGGGACAATCTGCAGGAGTAGGTTCTCCTTCCACAATGAAGGTTCTAGAGATCAAGCTCAGGTTGTAGGGGAGGGCAGCAAATGACATCTCACCTGCCGCTGTTTGTTCAGGCCACTCTCAAACTAACTCTCCTGTGCTAGGATTACAGATGAGCTACCACGCCCAGTCTCATTTCCTTCAAAAAGAAACTTTAGATGTAGTTACCTCTTCGTACATATTTTTACGAAACTCCAAGTCCTCGGTGAGGCTCTGACAACGATTCTCCAAATCCACTTTCAGTAAAGTTTCATCTGCTAACTGCTTTTTGGCAGCGGACAAGGATGCTTCCAGCTGTGGTAAGGAAAAAGAGTGATAAAGACTACGGCAATCTGGTGCTGACTTCAGAGAAGAAACGGCAAGCATTGGTGCTCGTAAGTATTTGCTAACATGGTCATCTCATCCTAACTTCAGTCATTTGCTGGTTCTACCGCAGGACGTCACCTCAGATCACCTATCAGACTGAAGTCCTCAGCAGAGAGGCCGAGGACAATCCTTCTCACACCAATGTTCCAATACAATAATGAAACAAGCTTTGAACGCGAAGAGGATGGGTGTACCCAAGAGAACAGCAAGATATGCAGAACCAGACCAGAAGTGATGAGAAGCTACCATGGTAGCTACCCAAACTGTTCTTAAACAAGGGTTCATTTAAAAAAAAAAATCTGCAGACCATGCTTAAGACTGCCAACCACTCAGGCAAAGAAACACTGGTCAGAGGCAGGACCTTACCTGGGCAATCTGATCCTTCAGATCCTCCAGATCCCCTTCTAAACTCTTTTTGTCTCCAAGGGCAGTAGCCAGAGCTGCGTCCTTAGAGTTCAGGGCCGCCTCATACTCTCGAAGCTTGATTTGGGCTCCATTAAGATCGGATTCCTTCTTAGCATAACTGTAACAGCAGAAAAGCACAGACAACATCACAGCCCCGCCTTGGAACCTTCTCCTTGCCTGCCTAAGGAAGAAATCAAGGCAATTTAAACACTGGCCACCTGAATCTACTGAAGCCACAGAAGCTTACCCAGAAGCATGAGATCAAAGAGTTCTGGGTGGACAACATTTTTCCCATGTTAACCAATGACTGTGGGATGAAGAAACCCTAAGACCCAGGCTCTGGGGACTAAAGAGATGGCTCAGAGTTAAGAGCACTTGTCAAAACACACACACCCACACACACAGGCGGTGGTGTACACCTGGATCTCTGTGAATTTGAGACGAGCTTAGTCTACAGAGTAAGTTCCAGGACAGCCAGGGCTGTAACACAGAGAAACCTTGTCTCTAAAAACAAAAGCAAAACAAAACAAAAAAAGAGTATTTGCTGGTCTTACTGCAGACACACGTTCAGGTTCCAGCACTCACATGATTATCTGTTATCTGTTAAGTTCAGCTCCATGAGCTCAGACACCCTCTCCCAGCTTCCACCTGCTCTAGGCACAAATGCAGCACAGACATCATGACAGCAAACACTCATTCACATAAAATCTGATAGTAACAACTGCTTGTTGATGCCAAAAGACTTGCAAGCATCCTCTATTTCTAATAAGGTGATCTGAAATTTCCCTAATTACATGGAGTTCTAGGTTGAAAAGCAATGTTCTTTTATATAAATATTTCACGGGGGTGGGGGAGTCACGCTGTAAAGTCCCGACTGACCTGGGACTCTCCATGTGGATCAGGTTGGTGTCAAGATCAGAGATCAGCTTTGCTCTGCCTCTGAGTACTAGGAGAGGAAAAGGTATGTGCCACCGAGCCCAGGGAATAATTATGTGAACAATTACATTTTAAAAGACATAATGTTTGCCATTAAATAAATATTTACCATTAATTACACAGGAAAGCCTTCACTATATCAAGATTCCGAATATTTGCTCTTAATTAAAACTGGAGTATTGCAAATATTAAAATAAAACAAAAAAATAAATTGACTCAATGGTAAGAAAGCATAATTCAAGGAGAATTATTGGGGTATGACAAATATAGTCCCAAAAGAATCTCTCTCTCTCTCTTTTTTTTTTTTTGCTAAGTCCTGTATGCTTTAAGGCCACGAGATGGCAGACTTTAGCTGAAACTAGTCTAGAAGGGGCAAAGCTACCGGTTGAAATTTGAATTAAAACAAAACAAACAACAATCTTCTGTTTGGGCTAGAGAGACGTTAAGCTCACTTGCTGTGCTCTATCAGGAGCTACACCCTCAGGCACCTGCATTCAAGGGCACACAGACAGTCACACACCTCTTTTCTAAAAAGGATCCAACCTTGGTGAATTACAGTCAAACGAACTCATTCAAGCCCTGGGTCCCCATAGGAATCCCTATGTAGAAGCCTGTGGAAAAAGCCACAATTTTATCCTATCATAAAATAGCCAGCACTGAATATGTATCATGCTGGCTAGGATATAAGGAAAAATCACTCATTTGAGACAAGTTTCGGGTAGACTGTTATCAGTCCGGGACTCACAACACAGCCAAGGACAACCCTGCCTACACCTCCAAGAGCTAAGATTACAGAAATAGTCACTACCAGTTTACTGTGTGCTAGGAACAGAACCCAAGCTTTCATATATATTAGGCAAGCACTCTGCCAACCAAGTTATATCCCCCCTTTAAAAAAACCACATATTTTTAGAAGTTGGAGATTTTTCAGGAGTCAGGAGCACTTGTTCTTCTTGCAGAGAACCCAGATTCTATTCCCAGCACCTCCATGTGCCCAGAGTGACTCCCTAACTATGTAACTCCAGTTTCTCGGAATCTGGCCCCTCTTCTGACCTCTGGGAGCACCAGGCATCCATGTGGTGAACTGACATACATGCAGGCAAAACACTCGTACACATAAAATTCAAAAGTATCAGTGTGAAGTGATGACCCTCTGGTTACAGGGACCACACTTACTGAGACCAATTCAATCAAGACCTGCCCTACAAGCTACCATGGCCTTCTCTGAAGTAAGAAAACAGGTATTGTATCGGACCTCAAGGAGGGCTCCTGCATCAGTCACTTACACACAGGTACATGGAGTTAGAAACAGAGAGGGCTCAGTCAAGTTCCTGAACTTGGAGACCTAGTCATTTAAACTAGCAAACATTACTGAGGGTTTAGTATAGGCTACCTAAACCAGCAAGTTAGGCAAGTTAGGTAGAGTGGATTTTTCTTATGAATGTAGCTGTCTGGTGCTTTAGTGAAAGATGAGATGGACTTGTGGGTGTGTCTTCTGTGGAAGCTGGTGGCAGACACTCCCTGCTGCTGCTCTTATGTCCCAAGTGATGTTTTTCTGTTGGCTTAGCGGGTGCACACAAATCTACTGATATTTTGATTATCATCTATGGCACCCACGACTCTGCAGTCAGTAGGCTGCTAGCCATTCAGGCCATGGCCTGGTGGGGAACCTGCAGCCCTGGCTCTCCAACAGCCGCGACATGTAGATTTAAATTAAGTCTCTATCATTCGGCCAGGCAATGGTGGCGCACGCCTTTAATCCCAGCACTCGGGAGGCAGATCTCTGTGAGTTCAAGGCCAGCCTGGTCTACAAGAGCTAGTTCCAGGACAGACTCCAAAGCTACAGAGAAACCCTGTCTCGAAAAACAAACCCCCCCCCCAAAAAAATCTCTATCATTCTACTTATCAATAAGATACAGGAATCAAAGGCTGGGGTGAAAACCTTCTAACCCAGAGGTTGAGTAGCAACTAGCTGACCTTACTTTATGGCCAGAGCCACTCTTTTCCCTGTCTCAGAACCAAAAAGGAAGTGCCAAACTCAAGTCCCCGCCCTTTCTTTCCTGGGTGTCTTCTCTATCCAAATTGCTGGCTTCTCTATGGCCAATCCCAGTTGGCTAGTCACTGGCTCCACCCACTCCCAATTCAAGGTGTAACTCTATTGGCAAGTCTCGCGAGTCTCAGGGTGTGATCAAAATATCCCACAGCACCCAAGCACCTTCCACCCCAAACAAATGCTCTTGTGTTCAAGCGCCATCGCTCTCCTCTCCTCCAGCAGTCCAACATCAACAGGGAAATGCAGGTGCCTCCAGCCACTCCCCCCACGAAGGGAGGAGAGCCCACTGGACCTCTGGACATGAGGCACACTGATGTAACACTGAGACACAGACTCAGTACTGTGAGAAACTTAGCTCCCTCGGGAGACTGCTCAAAGAAGGGCAGGGAATCTGTAGAAGACATTTCCGAACGTATACAGAAAACCCGTAGATAACGACGGTCTTGTTAAATGTTAAATGAATCTGAGGCCATGGAGAATTCACCTGTCATACACAAAGCCCAGAGTGCAATTATAGTACCAAAATAACACCTTCCCAAGTCTTACCCTCTACATAAAATGTCTTTTAAGGAAAAAAAGGCAATATTTCTACATCTCTGATATTCACTTTCCTAATTGTCCTCTCTCTGAACCTGTCAATGCCGATGAATCATAAAAACATTCTCAAGATTACACCCATCTCCAGATGAGGGCCATCAATCAGGAAGTTTTCTGTCAACTGAGCGGCCAATGCCAAGGGCACGTAGAGGCCATTCAGTGAGTTAACAATCTGACATCCTCTCCCCACAGGTTTCTAACTGCTTTCTTAGTTTTCATTCACTAAACATGGCACGGAGAGTCCAGCTGCATCAGCACACAGGCCAGCAGAAGCTGCAGACTGGCATCCTGAAACACCGGTATCACTGAGTGTTTGTGTGACACCTGACGTTGTCAGGTCAGCTTAGACAGGAATCCAAAGTTACTAGACAGTAGCAATGACGGCGCTGCAATACATCCTCCTGACTGCTCCTTGACTGCAGATCTGTTCAGTGCTACTGACCAGCCTAAGTCAATCATTTCTACCTCCAGAGAGACCAGAGTTTTCAATTAAATTCAACACGTGAATCTAATGCCACAAATATGCACACCACTGAAAACAAGTCATAAAACATTCCTTCGGACACTTCACACAGGAACCAAAGCAACTGCATCCGAGAGCTAAGCAGTTTTATGCACTGTAGTTAGTACTCTATCCTGATGAAGAATTTCCATCCAAAGTTAGCTTTCCTTTCAAGTGAACTTCAATTTCACCAGGAACAGAAAGCAATTAACTAACCTCATCATTAAAGAAACAATCAGCTGGCAATTGTTCATTCACTTTAAAATGTGAGAGCCCAAGGTAGCTGCACTTTCCCAACAGAGCTAGCGCGCAGCTGGGGACACGCCCCAATCTCCAGGGACTAAACTGAAACTCCCCCTAACTGCTCACACCAACACGACCATGTGCAACAACTCATCACTAACATGACCACGTCACCAACACAACCTCGTGCTTCCTTGTTCTGTGCTCACACGTGGCTCCTCAGCACCGCCACTGATGGAGGGGAGCCAATGGCTGCCTCTACACACTGCTACCTCTGAATGTGCGGGTATTTAGAGTGTTTTAAGGAGTTGTTTTTATTTATCCTTGACTTGTTTTCAGATCATCATATAAACCCAGGCTTCAGCATCAGATACATTGGGCTCTGGAACTGTGTGTTTCCAGGAGCATCACCACCTGTCTGTGTCCTACATTTCCCCAAGAATACTCTACACCAGTCTTTCCAACTAAAACAGTTACAGCACTATTGGAAACAATGCTCAATGGAGCTGGGCACACATCTTTAATCCTAGCATTCGGGAGTCAGAACCAGCCTAGTCTATACAGCAAATGAATTAATTCCAGGCCAGCCAGGATACAGGCACACATGCGTGCACGCACACACACACACGCACGCACACACACACGCACACCTCAATAGATGTTCAGAAAATTATTCAAGACCTATATTGTTAACAATGGCCACTTAAAAATGAACTAGTAAGTCGATCATATCAGTATTTTCTTCCTAAACCATATCAGTATTTTCTTCCTATATATAAATATATAT